AATGGGTGGATTTGAGTGTCAATGAGGTGGACTACTTTGAAGATTTTTCAAGTCGAAGGACGCCGGATCGAAAATATACGACAAGTAGATTTTACAACAAAGTCCACAAAAGATGTTTTGGAAAAATGATTATCTAATAGAATCATGTGCCACGTTACGTTTAACTCAAGGTTTGTTAGCTGTTGATGAAAGGGTGTTCCTTCGTAATCAGTTGCTATTACACCTCCGAAACGATGACTGGCTGAAGGTCTAATTTAAAGCAGTGTCAGTGTCAGCGTATACGAAACAGAAGAGATAATGTACTCACATTCAGTCTCCGTCTGGCAGGATGGCATGGCCAGATTCGTAGTGGAAAATCGGCAGGNGTGAACATGGGTGAAGTGTTCATGATAAGAAAGGTGTCAATTGGAAATGAACAAAACAAGTGTGAAATCGAGACATAAAGTCAGACAACGAAGGAAAGGGGCAGATATGAGACAGTCTTTTTCCATGGACATGGTAACAGTAGTGGCCGCATTACTTTCACTTCCGATTTCATAATCCTAATTGCTATGAGTTCCACACTGGTCAGGATCTCATTACGTAATCTGTGGATGTGGGTCTTGGATACTGTGATGAAATGTGTGAATGCTATCTCCACCTCAATCCGGTACCCACTGTCAACCAGGGGTCTCAGGGTTGGGTTGTTCAAGGTCCTTGCTGACCCCGTTGTGAAGATTGACTGAACAGTGTTCCATTTTCCATTTGACCATTTGACCTTGTGTTAGGTATGACGTGCACGTGAACTGATGAAGAGCACGTGAATCGAACAGGTAAAGTAGTTTAGCCGGGAGGCTGCCGAACGCTGAATAGCTTGATCCTCGATACAACTCTCAACTACTGTGCGGAGAGCAGGTGGCACTGGTTTTTGATAGTTGGATTGATGGATTCTCGAAAACCTTCTTACTTTCAAGGGAACTGTCAGAAATACTTTTCTATCCAGCCGCCTACGTTTTTACTTTATTGCATTTCATTCACATGTACCATCGAACAACCAGTCACAGGTATCCGTTTTCCAGATGAAGTTTCTTAGGTGACTGAGTTCGTCATTTGAGGTATTCGAACCACAAGATCTGTTTACATCGGGAGAGACAGACAGTTTACTAAAATTCATTGGTCTTTCAACGGAAGAAACCGAGAAAATGTGTGCAATATCGTTCCTTCATACGTTTATGGAATACACTTTTCATGCTATTCTGTTCGACCAATACCCACATCCAGTAGTAGTAGTAGTAGTAGTAGTAGTAGTAGTAGTGTTGTGAGGTAATGCTCACATTTGCCAATAGTATGCAAAAAGATGCCGTTCTTTCAACGGTCGAATATGAACAAGACCCCCTCAGAGAGAATTGTGTTCATAATGATAACTACGACTTGTTCCATTCATTATATTATGCGCTACCAGGAATTGTGATGATATTCAAAATGAGATTCCTTGTTTTGTGTACGCCCAGTTATCCATACCTTAACTCTGGCTCGTAATAAATAATTCTCCTCGAGCCAACACCTGTCTTCTGGAATTATAGAAGTAGTAGTAGTAGTAGTAGTAGTAGTAGTAGTAGTAATAGTAGTCTATTCTGTCCTTCAATGTTATCTCTCCACAAGGCCTCAATAAATAACAAGTCAAAATAGACTTCCATACTGTATCGACTATTGCATCCAGTTGAGTGGACAGTGATAGATTGGCCAATGTACAAACAAATGTACTTTATTTCAACGCATTGTCTTTCATCCCTTACCCCATTCTGTTGTCCCACTTTGTGACCCTTAACACAGACAACTGTTTGACAGTCTCCGAAGGTCGTTGCCAAATAGCATTGTAAGTAGTGTATCATTGCATAAGCTGCAAAACTGCTCAGCCGGTCCGCTACTATCCAGTTTCATCTGGTGGTTGCGGTTGAGGCTGTGTAGTCGGTAACAGAAATGTAGTATTCAAAAACTTGGAGAGAGATTAAAAAAAACGGCAGCAGGATTCGAGGGGCGTTTGAACCAAATAACTTGGTGCAGAGTGATTCTCTCGTTTACTATGTTACTGATATGCAACACAGCAGTTCATCGGAATGGAGTACCCTTCATCAATGAGGGCAACTCATTGATAATTCCCATTTTCAAGAAGTAATCTAGCAATAATTATGCACACCACTATGGAATACAGTTGATCCCATATACAACTCGTCACAAGCACGATCGTAGTGTTCACTGATCGAAAAGTATCTTTTGACTCAGCCGATTGTGAAGGTTCGATCGGTTCACTGCCTCGCAAAAGAATGACACAAAAGTATATACTATGCTCAGCCCACTCACACAGATGTGTTCGAGTGTCGGTCTACAGTTAGCTAAGTCAATAGTAAGGAATCGGCAGTGGGGTTGGTCTCTTTTCCCACTCCTGTTCAATTTGATTGCAGAGGAAATAATGCGTCGATTGGTCTCCAAAATTTCGGTATTGCATGGGAAAGTGGAGCAAGCTATGTGGTTTTGAGTAAGCTGATAACATGGTTTGTTTATTAACGTGTTTGGAAATTATGTGAAACGTAGTTAACCGGTTGCGTTACCCCTATCAGTATGCGATTTGCACCTTGAAAGTGCAAAGTGTTGCTGAAATTCCGGGTGTCGTCTTCAAATGTCCGACGTTAAAGATCTAACCAATGCGGATTGCTTCTCTTACTTTGGTAGTTGCTTGACACGGGACAGTAGCATAGTGAATGAGGATCGTGTAAGCATTTTAAAAGCTCGTATAACATACGCGGAACTGAGACAATTCAAAGTGGGATTCCTATCCGGAGGTATTCGAATACTGATGTTCACATAATTTGGAAATGGGTGGAGTGAGTGTGTGGTCAACGGAGAGGTAAGCCGCCATCTGTTTTGAGATGATTCGGTCGATAAATCGCTATCACATCGAATTCAGATAAGTAGGCATCACTGTTTGGAACGTGTATTGTACATGCCAAATTGTCGTTTACCGTAACGCGCCTTACTTACAGCTGCTACTCCAATTTGGAAGACGTTACAAGGCAGTCTCAACAGATGACGTGGATGCGATGCAGGTATAAATGCATAGTGCTGCATTGTCTTCCTTCCCTCCCTTCAAATGGGCCTACTCCCCAGCCACCTTACACATTTGACCTACTTGAATGTGGGATCTGTTCAAGTGAAAAAGACAGTGCAGCATGAATTCATTTGTATTGCACTAACACTGATGGTTATTTATTTTTACTCACAAGGTCGGAAGCGCGTTCCGTGAAATCAGTGTTGCTGAAAGACTATTTGTGTGTGGTTAGTACCGTTATTGTACGGGTGCATTGCAGTCAATTGAATGGGGTCAGGGTCGGGGTCAGGGTCATTTAATTGTTTTTGTTTGGTTAAATATTCTGGATGACAAAATATATTACTTGATATCTGTTACACGAAGGAATTCCCTTTTTGTGTGGTACATGCATAATCGAACAAAACTGTGTATGCTCAGAATGACCAGTGTATGATTCAATTTATCATGCAAATTTTCGTGCGAAACGTTGTACTGTGGGCAGAAAATGCGAAGAACAGGGGTGTAGGGAGTTTGTGTACGCAACCAACGCAATCAACCGACTGTGGATTTGGCTACCGACATCCCAGTGAGATTCGGAATCACGTGAAGTATGGAGCGTGTAATGCAACCCAGTTGTCAGCCCCCCCAGCCGAGTGATCTTCATTCACTTTTTGCATTTTAGGGAACACACCGATTTTTATCTGTGACATGATATACTGAAAGGGACTAAGGAACACCAAAAATGATAGAATAAATAGTTGCCTTTTACCAAAGGGAATCACAGCCGGAAGATGGAACGAGCAATGGGCGCCTCGAAAATAGGTTGTTACAAAAAGCGTACGAATTCACGTTGATCTGTCTAAACCCCAGTAACAGATATTTTCGAAAGCTTTGTTCATGATCAGTGTTTCCAAATAAACTTTCAAATTCACTTCAGACCGTGAACGAATGCTGAAGCACATACAGACAAGAACAAATGAGAAAATGTTTGCTTCAGTGACAAAAATAATAATAATAAATTGGAATGAACCGGAAACTTGAGTGAGAATTTTCAGGCTAGAGAACAATGACGGAAGATCTTCGTGATGGTTTACCGAGCTTTCTCCGCGAACGGGAAAACTGAGCGAGATTCCGTCGCGTATACTCAACTGTTAGAAGGCATTAGCTGCCGCTCTGAAACTATGCAATAGTCCAACACATACTAAAAAAGATTTGCTGTTGTTTCGCGGGCCCAAGGTCTTACGGTATCCAGTCTGCAGCCCAGTTTTCAACCGGAGTGAATGCCGGTGGGCGTGCGTGTTCGCCAGGTGTAAGAAGATTCCGTGAGTTTTTAATCAAACAGTGAAATAGTAACCACCCTTAAGTGAGAATGCATGTGTTTTGACTCAGAGTAAATTCCACTTATAGTCAGAAGTATAACGAGAAGATGGATCGAGGTCCAGACGCAGAATGACTATAACATAGGACTCTGGACAGTAACTATGGTGGCTGGTCTGATAAACCTCATGCATTTTCGATCCCGCTTCTGCTTTTTTTATAATTTTATTAGTGTACAACAAATTATTTGGGGGTGAATTTTTATATGCTGCATCACGATGTATTCGATCAGATCAGATGAGATCTAGAGAATACACAAGTAACAATGTTAAAGAAAAGTGCGATAAGTTGAATCTTCTGTCGTTCACTGTATAACGACACCAATTATGTGACATCGATTGTGTTCAGTTGTCGCATTTCCCACATCGGATGGCGCGTGTAGTTATTTAAAATTACAATTGTCGATTTTATCATTCGCAGAATCGTCTTGCAAACACAACCTGCAAAGCATGAGTTTACAAACCACACTGAATGAATCCCAGCCGATCAAATCTGATCCATTTGCCCCATTGGACTCATTTGCCATATCCTATGAACATCCGTTTCCCACATTCGATTATGATGGACAGTGCGCAAAACGTTTGAACAACACATCACTGGNCTCCGGGCTCCCATATCCTTCGTCCATGTCGCACGCGTTCATACCGCCTCGTTGTTTACCGTCAAAGAAATCGTTGTTCGATTTCGACCACCACGAATCAGGGCGAAACATGAAGAAAATGGACAACAATTCATCAACCGGTCCGCAGTCTGTGAAAAAGTGCAATGGCAAGGTAATGGATAGTACAATTTCGGGCGGGACAGCGGCGGTTCGCCACAGAACCACTGGCGCATTATCATCCAACCCGGTTCGCACCAAGTTATCGGGCAGTGGACGCACCGGAACGGAGGTAATGGCTGGGCCTTCCGGTGGCGGAAGTGGAAGTCGTGAAGCACCCAACAAGCGTCAACGACGGCAGCGAACACATTTCACGAGTCAACAATTACAGGAATTGGAGGCCACGTTTGCCCGAAATCGTTATCCGGATATGAATTTGCGTGAAGAGATTGCCACTTGGACCGAACTATCGGAAAGTCGAGTTCGGGTAAGTGGGACGAATCTGACTTGACGCTTACTCTTTATATTTAACTCGAGAGTCGTGATGTAGGAGAAGTGGCATTGATGCGTTCAAGTGCATTATACTCGAAGTAGAATCTTGTCGAGCAAGTTTTACTGGATACTTTTACCTAGAACTGTTCAGAAGACTGCTTATTCAGAGGCCATTGAATGTAGTTAACTGTCTCCCTTTTCGCTGCTGTCGAAATAAAATGAACAGTCGGATTATCACTAAAGTCGACGAGTGTTGAATTCACGATTTTGGCCATCCCGGGTGTGAGCTGGTTGGCACCAACATAAACCTTCAGTGGGAATAGTCCGAGATTTAACTCCCACTGGGGAGGGTAAAAACGCATTACTCATTGGCTCAAACAAAAGTAGAAAAACTCAAATCCAGTGCTACTCCGGCACTTGGTTGACCGGATGGACTGAAAACTGTGTGTAAATTTAAAGTCAGTCAAAATCTATAAATTTATTGCCTCTTAATCTAATACTCATTTCACCGTTACGCGTTTCAGTAGGGTTAACAGTTTCTACGCGTGTATGTAAAGGAGATTATTTCGTAGTATACAACAACAACGGCAGACAAATTCGGACTCTGTACGATCGAAGGCCAACACAGAAACTCATTCGTGACTCACATCCAATTCCACTTTTGTCCCACGTATAGAACTCTTTCGATAGACTTGACTGGCAGCATACGCCTACAAAAGTACGCTAGTGATTCCCAAACTATGGCCATTAAAATTTGAAAACTACTTGAACTAGATTTATGTTATAGCATCAATTAAATAAACATTTACGGACAAATGGATTAATGAAGCGGTGTTCTAAAGCACCGAGTGTGCACGGTTGAGGAGGCAAGCCAACTTGCTTGGCCAACTAAGACCAGACTACATAATATCGCTAGCTGTTTATATTCTTAAGATTCTATACCTGTCACGTGGCAAATGATTAATGATAAGTAGTTTCATCTGTGACAACTTAGTCACACACAAACACACACTGTCTCTTTCGCTCTCTCTCGAGCGTGCGTGCGCGCGAACGCACACAGCCTCGCTGGAACACAGTCAATCTCTCGGGTCGTTGAGTAGATTGTCTCAGGTGTGTGTATGAGAGGGAGGGCGAGGGAAACTACAGTTAGGTCCATTTAATCCCCATCATATTGGTTGATTGTGTCACTGGCACATGGGCACCTGGCAGAGAATGAGTAGTATAGGTCATTCACACGGCCGGG